TCTTCAGTTCTGTTACGTCTATCTTACTCTTTCTTTATTCTATTTTTCCTCTGTTCTATTGGCTCCATTTTTAGTCCTCTATTCTACTCTCTATTTTCGTCTTCTATTCAGTTGTGTCTATTGCATACCTTTATTATATTGTCTTGGTTTCCCTCCGTTATTCCATTGTGTCTGCGTTCTTCCTTTATTCTATTGTCTATTCTGTCCTCCTCTATCGTATTGTTTATTTTTCCTTCTCTATTATGTTGCCTCTGTTCTTCCTTCTCCGCCTTTTGTTCCTCTTCTATTTTATTGCCTCTATTTTTCCTTCCTCTACTTTATTGAGTCAATTTTTTCTCCTATTTTGTTACTTAAAGTTTTCCTCCTTCATTCCCTTGCGTCTTTTTTCTGTTTCTCTATTCTATTGCGTCCGTTTTTCCTCCCCTGTTCTCTAGCGTATTTTTCTTTCCTATTCTACCGTGTTTATTTTTCCTCCTCTACTTCGTTGCGTTTGTTTTTCCTCCTTTTGGGTCTATTTTCCTCCTTCTTTTTTCTATTGCGCCTTTTCCCCTCCTCTATACAGTTGTGTCAATATTTCCTACTCTTTTATTGCCTCTATTTCCCTCTTCTTTTCTACTGCCTCTATTTTCCTCCTCTATTCTGTTGTATCTATTTTTTCTCCTCTATTTACTTGTGTCTATTTTTTCCTCCTCTATTCTATTGCCTTTATTTTTCCTTCCCTATTCTATTGCCTCTATTTCCTCCTCTTTTCTCTTGCATCTGTTTTTCCTCTTCTATCCTATTGTCCTCAATTTTTCCTATTCTCTGCGTCTATTTCTCTTGCAGTCTATTGTCTCCGCGATTCTATTGCCTTTATTTTTCCTTCCCTATTCTATTGCCTCTATTTCCTCCTCTTTTCTCTTGCATCTGTTTTTCCTCTTCTATCCTATTGTCTCAATTTTCTTCCCCTATTCTCTTGCGTCTATTTTTCCTCTTACATTCTATTGCCTCATTCTTTTTCTCCTCTATTCTGTTGCTTCTATTTTTCCTCCTCTATTCTACTGTGACCGTGTTCTATTTAGTTTTCTATAGGTTCATTTTTCCTTCTATTATTATACTGTGTCTATTTTTCCTCCTACGTTCTATCTATTTCCCTCCTTTTTACTGTTGCATCTACTTTTCCTCCTCAAGTCTATTTTATTTTCCTCCTCTATTCTATTGCGTCCATTTTTCTTCCTCTATTTTCCTCCTCCTTTTGTCCTCTGTTCTATTATGTCTGTTATCCTCCTTTATGTCTATTTTCCTCCTTTATGTCTGTTTTCCCGCTGCTTCGTTCTTTAGTTCGGTTTAACTAACCTTCCTGGCTAACGGAGCAAGTGTGACCAATCTTTAATTCCTCTGATGTATGGCCATAACAATCTACTATAAAACTATATTTAAAGATAGTTCTGATTAAATTCTCTAGTATATCAACTAAGAAAAAAATATGTATATCATTTAATTCTTTGGTTATATGTCTACCAGCCCGGTATAATGTTTAGACGTGGCCATTATTAAACACGGTCATAACATATTATTTTCTGGACATAGGTAATGAAACGGTTAATTTCTGGATATAGGTAATGAAATGGTTATTTTCTGGATGTGGGGAACGAAATGGTTAATTTCTGGATATAGGTAATGAAATGGTTATTTTCTGGATGTGGGTAACGAAATGGTTATTTTCTGGATATAGGTAATGAAATGGGTATAAATTTGGGGGCATAAGATATGAAAAATACGTAAAATGTTCTACGCGACTCATGGCCTGAAGAGCTATATTATAAAGTACCCCTGAATAACGTGTGCAAGTGTTTACATATGTAATTTCTTGAAGTTGATTTTAGTGAGTTTTTCGTGTTTATATAATTTGTTGTTCTATTGCCGTAGAGTGTTTCCCAATGTTTGTTTTATACTTTGTTGTTGTCTGTTATAATTATTTCTTATGTTAGCATTATACGTGTATTATTGATATGATGGTAATATAGCGTTTCACAGGACTGTCATTAACTAAGTTTACATAGCAATACCAAGAATCCTAGTAGCTGATCCGCAGCGTTTTCTAGCCCTTTAGAAATGACTTCACATATCAGGAATTTTAGCAACATTAACCAGTACCATGTTGCAGCCACATCCACAATACCTTTATTTATTGCCAACCCGCCATCACGAAGGAACACGGCGCCATCACCACACAGAGAGTGAAGACCAAAGACGCACACCACCAGACGCCCTCTTTTCCGTTCGCTATGCACGGCCAACAGCAATTCGTGGCTCTATTTATAAAGGCACGGACAATAAGCCATTCATGCGACTGGACAAAATTTTGCATTGTTCCCGTTTTCATTGCAGAGTGTTACCAGCCCGGCGAGGCTCCCTGGCGACGGCGCAGCGTTGCCAGACAAAGGCCGACGCGAGGGCACGCCTACGGTGATCCTGGGGAGAACAGGTGTGCCAGTGGAGGTCACGCATGAGGTCACAGGTATGACGTCACGTATTCTCTTTTGGAATGATCGGAAATATGCAGGGGGCGGAGCTTGATTTTTCTGCTCCTTTTGAGTACGCATTCATGCATGCTTATGCACTATTGTGGGCGTGGATGAACTGTGGAGAAAGTTAATTCAGCGTGTGAATACACACACATACACACACACACACACATACATGCACACACACACACACACACACACACACACACACACACACACACACACACACACACACACACACACACACACACACACACACACACACACACCGAGAGAGAGAGAGAGAGAGAGAGAGAGAGAGAGAGAGAGAGACGCGCGCGCGCTCGCACACAAAAGCGGAAACTGATTAAAAGTAGATTTCAGTATCTCTTTCGACATTCATACTTACTTTTGATTTATTATACTTTTATAGCACTGTCGAGATTTTTAGTCGCAGTAAATTTCAGTACTTATAGGATTTAAGCGAATTTGAATAAGTTTTCTTCATTTTTATCGTATTGCGTTGCCGTTGGCGATGTTATTGAATATTTTATTATGAAATGAACTAGAAAAGCAAGCCTGGTATTCCATTTTTTCGTTGATTTCCATCACAAGCCTTTTCAGTCAAGTATTTTTTGTTGACCGAAAAACAGTAGTATCCAGCACTTTTGTATTTCATATGCAGCCGTCATTTTCTACCCATATTTTATTGTTTCATTTTCTTTTTTTTTCGTTTTTCCGCTCTTTGTCCATTCAGTGATGTGACAGTTTTATTTTGTTTAGTTAGTTCCTTTTTTAGATATTATATTTTTCAAGTTAATAATGGTGTTTTTTTTAAAGGGATCCGCTATTTAATACCCTGTATATGGGCAAGGCTTTGATACACTTGATAAAAGTCCATGTGGCAGGTATATCAGATAATATTACATTACGAATTAAGGATTTAACATTGTATATTTCTGATACGTAAGATTAATATGACTTTCTTATATTTTTCGATACGTAAAATTCATATAACATTATTATTATTATTTATTTTTTAATGTAATATCGATTTGACTTTCTTTTATCTCATGGTACGTCAGATGCGGTAAAATAATTAAATAGTTCTTTTAACATCATGTTTGACAGCTTGAATAGATGTATCGTTTTGAGATATAAGTATGTGTGCCTGAATATGAGTATCAAAGGGTAGTATAAGTTATAAGTGTTTATGTGCTGTGTATTCTACAATACGACGTTAAAACTCAGCTTCTTGCAATCTGTGAGTTTCACTGTCTCTTCCTGTACGGTCAGTATCCCAGGACACTTTACATTTTATGATGTGGTGGCACACACTCACACACACACACACACATACACACATACACACTCACACACTCACACACACTCACACACACTCACACACACTCACACACACTCACACACACTCACACACGCACACACACACACACACACACACACACACACACACACACACACACACACACACACACACACACACACACACACACACACACACACACAATCTCTCTCTCTCTCTCTCTCTCTCTCTCTCTCTCTCTCTCTCTCTCTCTCTCTCTCTCTCTCTCTCTCTCTCTCTCTCTCTCTCTCAATACAGTTTTGTGGCCAATGTGTTTACATAACGCTGTTATTTGTTTAGGGCAGTTTTACAGAGAGAATTTAGGATATAGTACGTGCATATCTTCCAATGTATCAGATGAAATGAAATATTCGCGCAGTTCTTTACATCTCATGTTAGGTGGTCTGAGTAGCTGTATCACATGACGTTTCGAGATATAATGCTCTTGCGTTCGTTTGGTTTCTTCGTTACATAATCTACATCTAGATTAATCTGCATTTCTTGCACCGTGCACTTGCCACTACATTTTGTAACCTAAACGTATTCTAGCAATAAGATTGTCTGGTTTGACTCCGGTGCCACCCATAGGAAGGCTTGCTATCTCTGTACTGATCGTAGTGCCTCATGGTACAGCTTTCAGGCCTTTGAGTGTTCGTCAAATCTACTAGTTCTTAATTATGAAAATTTTCAACATATGTGCAACCCAAGCAAGATTCATCCCAAGATCTGTGTTCACAGTATCTTCGCTGCTGGCTTCCTTCGCCAATTTGTCTACGTGGTCGTGCTTGCGTTTGCCAACATGAGATGGTATCCATACAAATTGAATGTTAAAATTACGCTCTAGTGCATAAGTTACGTTACGCTTAAAGCAACCCACAATCTCCCCATCGTTCGAAGAGCACTTGAGAGTCACAGAAAGCTACTCCAAAGCCCCAAGACATTAAGAATTCCTTTGCAAGGAGTATACCTGCCAACTCCATTTGTGTAGTGCTGGCCCACTTTTGCACTCTCATATTAACTATATTGTAGTAAGCCATCTTTGTATACAGCGCAAGCACAACCAACCTTGTATCCAGACTGTACAGATCCGATAGATAGATATACATAGACAATATATGTTCTAAATCATTCTCCTTTATATATATATATATATATATATATATATATATATATATATATATATATATATATATATATATATATATATAATTTTCTCTCCCCCCCTCAAAAAAAATCAGTGTCTGAGATTAAAATGAAGTTACTTTTGGTAAGCTACATTCTTTCTCTTCATTTCTCTTTTGTTTTTCTTTAATTTACTTTTCCTTTTTTTTTCCTTTCTTTTTTTCTCTCCTTTTTTAACATCTCACTTGGCAACACTGAGAAACGAAGCTCAGCGCCCTCGTTTGACTTAACAAATCTAATTCCTGCGAACTCAATGGCCGTCGTGTTTTTTTGTCTCCCAGCGGCAGATGAAACGGGGAAAGTCTGCGAGAAAAAAGAGATAATGCCGGGAAGGAAGAGGAAGAGGGAGAGGAGGAAGAGGGAGAGGGAGAGGAGGAAGAGGAAGTGGGAGAAGGAGAGGAGGAAGAGGGAGAGGGAGAGGAGGAAGAGGGAGAGGGAGAGGAGGAAGAGATAGAGGGAGAGGGAGAGGAGGAAGAGGGAGAGGGAGAGGAGGAAGAGGGAGAGGGAGAGGAGGGAGAGGGAGAGGAGGAAGAGGAAGAGGGAGAGGGAGAGGAGGAAGAGGGAGAGGGAGAGGAGGAAGAGGGAGAGGGAGAGGAGGAAGAGATAGAGGGAGAGGGAGAGGAGGAAGAGGGAGAGGGAGAGGAGGAAGAGGGAGAGGGAGAGGAGGGAGAGGGAGAGGAGGAAGAGGAAGAGGGAGAGGGAGAGGAGGAAGAGGAAGAGGGAGAGGGAGAGGAGGAAGAGGAAGAAGGGGAGGAGGAAGAAGGAGAAGGAGAGGAGGAAGAGGGAGAGGGAGAGGAGGAAGAGGAAGTGGGAGAGGGAGAGGAGGAAGAGGGAGAGGGAGAGGAGGAAGAGATAGAGGGAGAGGAGGAAGAGGGAGAGGAGGAAGAGGAAGAGGGAGAGGAGGAAGAGGAAGAGGGAGAGGGAGAGAAGGAAGAGGAAGAGGGAGAGGAGGAAGAGGAAGAGGGAGAAGGAGAGGAGGAAGAAGGAGAGGGAGAGGAGGAAGAGGAAGAGGGAGAGGGAGAGGAGGAAGAGGGGAAGAGGGAGAGGGAGAGGAGGAAGAAGGAGAGGGAGAGGGAGAGGAGGAAGGGGGAAGTGGGGAGAGGGAGGGAAGAGGGTAGGGAGAGGAGGTGGTGGGAGGCGGAGAGGGGGAGGGGGAGGGGGAGGCGGGAGATGGGAGATAGGGGAGAAGGGAAGAGGAAAAGGGAGATAGGGAGAGGAGGAAGTAGGGAGAGGAAGAGGAAGAGGAGGTGGGAGATGGGGCAGATGGGGAGATTGGGGGGAGGAGGGAAGAAGAAGAGGTAGGGGGGGGGGGGGGAAGAGGAGAAGAGGGTAGGAAGAGGAAGAGGAAGGGGAGGTCAGGAGAAAGAGGAGGTGGTGGGGAAGAGAAGGGAAGGAAGAGAGGAGGAGGAAGAAGAGGAAGGGGAGTGGGAAGAAGAGAAGAAAGAGGAAGAGGAGATGGGGAAAATAGGAAAGGGAAGTAGAAGAGGGAGAGGAAGAGGAAAATAAAGAGGAGGAGGTTGGGAAGAAGAGGCGGAATAGGAGAGGAAAGGAGAGGTAAAGGAAAGAAGGAAAAGAAGATGGAGAAATAGAGAAAGGAAGGATGATGAAGAAAATACAGAAAGACAATCATAATAAAAGACGGAAGAGGAAGAATTTAGTGATTAGGAACAAAATGAGGAAATGAGATTGGGAAGAAGGGAAAATGGAAGAAGGAGAAGAGGGAGATAGATGATAAAGACGAAGATGAGGTAGATAAGACAGAAGATAAAGTATGAAAAGTAATAAATGATGTGGGATTTATCTGTGTCAGTATATCTATGTAGATATACACCTGTGGTTGATATGGCCATTGATGTAATTAGTATTATCTTTATTACTGTTATTATTGTCATTATTATTACTGTATTTACTATTTTTGCTCTTATCTTTGTTACTGCTGTCATTATTTTCATTGATATTGCAGTTAATAGTATCATCATTAATGTTGTTATATCGTGTTAATGTTCTCAGTATCGTATTAGAAGGATGAGTCAATAATGACAGGTTTGGTGTTTCTATTAAATCCTTTGGGGAAATTCTAAATCTTTGCTTACGACTGTGACTGCTGTAGGGAATGGCGTGTTTATTCCTTAGAATTCTCTCTCTCTCTCTCTCTCTCTCTCTCTCTCTCTCTCTCTCTCTCTCTCTCTCTCTCTCTCTCTCTCTCTCTCTCTCTCTTTCTCTATCTATCTATCTATCTCTCTCTCTCTCTCTCTCTCTCTCTCTCTCTCTCTCTCTCTCTCTCTCTCTCTCTCTCTCTCTCTCTCTCTCTCTCTCTCTCTCTCTCTCTCTCTCTCTCTCTGCGTGTGTGTGTGTATGTGTGTGTGTGTGTGTATGTGTGTGTGTGTGTGTGTGTGTGTGAGTGTAAGTGAGCGAGCGAGCGCGTGTGTGTGTGCGTGAAATAAGGACAGAGATGTAACTGAACTGCAG